AGAGAGAACTTTATACTTTAATATATAAATATTGATGCATTTTTTAAGTCTTCAAATTATAGTAGCTTATCTATTACAAATTTTTTTTATATTTCTAAGTCTGTTTTTGAATTTATTACTATTTTAATTCTTTTGATATTTTTTAAAAAATTTAAAAGACTAAAAATCTCACTTTAAATTTTTAACAAAACATCAAAGTTAACCATATTTAATTTTGAGAAATCATTCAAATGGATAATGAAGTCATAAATTCTTAATTATATATTACAACTAACATAAAAGAATAGGTACTATTCAACTAAAAAAAAGTAGGTATTTGACCGTACAAGTATTTATTTTTTGATAAAATTAATTCATGAATTGAGTTGAAATTACAAAGTTAAAAGATAAAATTTATTAACTAATCTATTTGAATTTGAAAATTAAACAAAAATGAAAACTTTTAGATACAGCGCATAACGCGGCTAAGTTTACTAGTAATAGGAAAATTCTGGATCATCGTGGAGGATAATATTTGTATCAGATATTTATTTAACTAAATATAATTATTTGATACATATGGCAAAAGACATTTTTTTGTATTGATATACAATTAAATGATCCTCAATGAATATAACACATGTTTGTATTATTTACTTATTAAAAGTAAATATATAGAAGTAGCACTGTACAAATCAAATTATAAAGTCAAATTGAACCGGTGAATCAAGTTAAATTGAGAAAAAACTGACTTATGATTTAGTTTGATTAGTTTGGCGTTGAAAAAGAAAAACTGATCATTCTTGATTTGATTTGGTATTAACAATAAAAAGAATCAAATCGAATTCAACCCAAACCAACATAATACATATATAATTTTAACTTTTTATACATAGAAATATTTATATAATCTATTTTGTAAATATTTTAAAATTAATTTTATTAATTTTCAATATATATAAATTAGATATATATTCAGAAATGGGCTTATAACTTGTAAGTTATGATAAATATTTGTCCATTAATTGATGAATGATACAAGCCCAATATAAACTAAGTTAAAACTCTAGAGTAGTCATATTCTCACTTTTTCACTTTCCACTTTCCAATCTTTGGACTTTCCGGAGAACAACTCAATCTTGCTATTCTCATTCAATACGTTCGTCTATTTGCTGATAATTAGATATGTTTTTCTTTTTTCTTTTCTTGCAAATGTAAATTTATAAATGAAAATCGTCACTTACAATTTACAATGGTTGTTGCTACCACAAATATTAATGTTTTGTGTTTCACATTCTTAGATGGAGACGACGGCTGGAACTGGTGCTGAAATGATTATCGACAGTCCTCCGGTTGTATCGATACCTCAAAAGAAAGGTAAAAACACTCTTCATCTCCGCGCTTCTTCTAAAAAGCAAAAAAGAACAACCCCAATAGATTCCAATCCTACAAATGGTAATACAGGGAGAGAAACGTCATAGATTTGGGTTACTTTGCTAAATTTATTGCTAAAGGAGGTAAACAAAGAGCAAAATGTAACTATTGTGTAAAACACTTTGCTGTTGAGACAAAAAAAAGAAACTTCTATATTTTAATCACATTTAAATGACAAATGTCTCAAATCTCCCTTTAGATTTGTTGATAGAAGGCAAACAACCTTGAAATCTATACCAAGCAACGTAAGGGTACTAGAAAATGAAACAAGTTCTATAGAAAAAGGTTGTGTACAATGTGGAGGATATCAGGAGGGTCATTGCCGAATTTGTCATTATTGATGAACAACCATTTAAAGTTGTTGAAGGGGAAGGTTTTTAAAAAATGATGGTCAAAGCTTGGCCTAATTTTGAATTACATTCACGGGTAATTGTGGCTAGACACTGTTTGAAGATCTATTGAGAAGAGAAAAAGAAACTTAAAAAACATGTCAAGAATCAACATATATATATTACTAGTGATACATGGACATCACTTCAAAGTTTGACTTATACGATCGTGACGGCTCATTGGATTGATGATGAATGAAACTTATTAAAAAATATTCTTAATTTTTTTTCAAACTCCAGATCACAAGGGTGAGACTATAGATAAAGGTATTGAAACATGTTTGTTGGATTGGGAAATTGAGAACTTGTTTATAGTGACTCTGGATAATGCATTTGCCAATGATGCTGTCATTAACCATTTGAAGACACGTATTAATGATTGGAAAGGGGACACATTGAGAAATGAGCTTTTACATGTTAGATGTAATGCTCATACTTTAAACATAATTGTAAAAGAACTAAAGAAGGATTAGATGAACAAATCGAGCCAATTTCTCGCATAAGGAATGCAGTGAAATATGTCAAGTCTTCTGCTTCTAGGTTTACCTCTTTCAAGTCATATGTTGAGAAGACTAAGCTAGACGCTCATGGTCTCTTAAGTCTTGATGTTGAAACTACTTATACGATGTTAGAAATTGTTGTAAATTTTGAAAAGGCTTTTGCAAGAATGTACATTGATGATCATAACTATCGAAAGTATTGTTTTCAAAATCAATTGAAAGGACATCCAACTATAAATGATTGGCAGCTTGTGAAAGGTTTTATAAAGTTCCTCAAAATCTTCTATTATTCTACTTTGAAATTTTCAGGGAGCTTATATGTTACTTTTAATCTATTCTTCCATGAATTTTTTAATGTTCGAAGTTCTATATTGAAGTACTCTTATAGTGAAGATCTGATTTTGATTGATATGACTTGAAGGATGAAGGTTAAGTTTGATAAATATTGGGAGAATATTGAGAACCTGAAAATTTGAACATGTTGTTGTTTATTGCTATTGTGTTGGATCCTAGATATAAGATGCGATATGTGAATTTTATTCTTGGCAAAACGTATGACTCCTTACTGGAAAAATTAAAGGCAGATTATGTGGAAGGTATCTTGAAACGTTTGTATAATCACTATAATCATTCTTCGACTAAAAATTTTACAGATAACATTGGAGGTGAGACTAACATGATGGATGTAGTTGATGATATATTGCATTCTGAATGGGAGAAACATTTAGAAGAGGAGAAAGTTGAAAAAAAAATATAAGCTTAATCAATATTTGATGGATAATATAGAGAAGCCAAACGATTTTAATATCTTGACTTGGTGGAAAGCTTCATCGAATAGATATCCAACTATTTCAAAAAATGGCAAGGAATGTTCTTTCTATTCCCGTGTCTACTGTGCATCTGAATCAACTTTCAGTACAGGTGATCGTATTCTTGATTCATATCGGAATTCTTTATCACAAAAAACAGTAGATATTCTTATTTTCACTCAACAATGGATACGGTCACCTTCTAAAGAATGGAAGGTTCAAAATTATTTGGAGGAAGTTCAGAAAATTGAAGAAGTTGAAAAAGGTATTTTACTAATTTAGTTCTTAATTTTCCCTTTTTGCTATTAATTTTCTACCTTGAAAATACCTTTATGCTAGTTGCCAACTAACAAAGTTGAGTTAACAAGTGATTCAATATCTAATTATTCATTTATGTGCTAATAATTATTTTCCTTTCAGAATATCCAGGTGCTCCTTTGAGTATCGATTATTTTAAAGAGTTAGCTTTTTGCGCAATTCTTTTGATATATAGGTATCTCCTTTTCCATTATTGAAATAACATTTTACAGTTCTAGTTAGTGATTTTCGTCCTGATAATTTTTTTTTCTTTTCAGAATGTATGTCTAGGTGACCTTTTGAGTATATATTAGTTTGGATTAAGAAAATATGCAGCTGCATCTTCATGGTTGAAGAATGAAGATTATTGGAGTAACTTTGCAATTTTTTTGTTGGGTTTAGAGGATATTTTACTAATATAATGTGAAGTGTTATGTTTTTAATTTTCAATGTTAAATAGACTTATTTTTAATAAACTATTTGTTTCTGCTGATCATGTAAGGATCTTAATAATCAAAACTTGTTGAAATTAGAATGAAATGAAATGATTATTGAGCAATTGTCAGGATATTGGGTTATTGAGCAGTTGTCACGTGGTGTTTCTCTTCGTATCTTCTTCTATCTCGATGTGTTGTATGTTATAAAATTCTCATTCTATGGTCGTTTGCTTTAGCTTGTTGTTGGGGTTATGATGTCTATGTGTGATGGGTATTGTTTCTTAGTCGTTTCCTTTAGTTGGCATAATATCAAGTTAGAAACTTTGAAGATTCATGGTCTGTTGGCATTTTGTAGTTTTGTAGTCGTTCTTGCTGTTCTTAGTCGTTTTCTTTAGTTTTTAGTCATTTTCTTAATCATTATTGCTTTGTTGCTCCCTTTTTCGGATCCGCTGCTTGATTTTGTGTTACAATCTAGTCGAAGCTTGTGGGTTTGCAGATGGTGTTGGTATTTCTTTGGCTACTCTTTTGAGTTCTGTTTGTTGTTCCCCTTCTTGAATCGGCTACCTGATGTTTGTTGAGTCTGTGCTACTTCATTTGCGAAGTGATTCATGTGTTGCATTTAAATTTTAGAAAAATGGTGGAGCAGGGTAAGAAAAATATTTCTACATTTTATTTTATAATTATTTGTTTGGAGAATAATAATACTTTAATCTTTAACTCTAACTAATACCAATAATTTATTTAACTTTTGTCAAAGGTAAAATATTTTGACTTTTGTCCATGCTGAGGGCGATATGACAATCTTTTTAAATAAAAGAAAGTATTATTACACATACCATGATGAAAATACAATAAAAAAGAGGGTGTAGTTATTAAACTAATAAGTAATAATTTAAATACGAAATTCACAATCTCAATAATTTTTATATGAAACTCCAAAAAAGAATATGGTTAGATGTTGTTTCATCCCTCGTCTCTTTTCTTTTTACTTGTCATTTTAACAAAACAATTCTTTATATTATTTTTATTTTACCCTAAATATTAATTTGTTATTACTCAAATCATTTTTTCAAGACCTAAAACTATAGATCAACTAATATTAGTGCTGTGATTTAATAATAACACTAATTATTTTTTTTTAAAGGACATGTAAAGTAGTAAAAATGTACAACTTGTTTTGTTATCTTCAACATTGTCCAACTCAAATAAAAGAACCAAACAAATTTTACATAATGCAACACTTAAGTTTGACACTGTAACCATATGACAACTCTTTGCCTATACACTATATCTATAGTCTATCCATATATTCTCCACTGTAACTCAAGTAGTCCAGACATCTGCAACCTGGGGTTCTAACTCAGTCAAAGTTATGGAAGAAGTCTGATCAGTTCATAATCACTTCTCCGAAAAGCCCCGGACATAACTTTAGTGAAGGGTTGTAGTTTTATGTTCAATTGAGTATTGATGGAAGCTCATTTGGTTTGATAACACAAGAGCAACTGGATCTTTGATACACTTCTGAGAACTGCTACTAGCAGTTTAACATGTGGTCATCAACATACCTTGGATGGCATTCGCGGCAAGCACCAGACAGCCATAAATAACTTTTCTGATTCACTTGTCTCACCATCATCGCTACTGAAAGCAAAAACATTTGGTTTAAATTTTCAGCTTTCCACAAAGACACCATAACTTGGAAGCACAAGGAAACAAAGTGTACATCACCAAGTAAACAATCAAAAGAACTCAAGAATATTGTTGCATCCCTGTCGGATCCACAAAAAATACACTACTTATGCATTGTTAGCAAAAGTTGGAACCTATGACATACTGTGCTCTCTGACAAATTGTGAGTCCACCGGGTGAACTATCAAACTCGCAGATGAAAGAGGAACTTCTGCATATTCAATGTTGACGGCAATCTTAATCACAGCTCCATTAAAAAGCTCTCTTAAGTTTGTCACCGCAGCCAAAAGTACATTTCTGAAAATGAAGCACCGCTCTGTGTCTGGCCAATGCCTTACTAACAGATAATTTTTTAGAGAGCGGAAACAGAACAAAATAGTGTATTTCTAGCTCTAGTTTCGGATGAGCTTCTCCCAATTATGCCTGGTAATAGAATAGGGCTAGAACAAAACAAGGGGCATTGTATGGAGGTTACCAAGTAGAGGTGCGAAGCAAGCAATTGAGATGCATAGAGAATAGATGGTAGGGTTCCAAACCTCGCCTAGCACTGCACATAAGCGGAGCTTGTGGTAACTCGTTCCTCGCTTGTTTGAAAGAGCTTCAGATTAGATTTAACACTACATATGATATTCCATTCCAGCCACTAGCTCTCTCTTTAACCAATCAAGATATACAGATGACAACAAGTGAGGGGTCTGAAAATGAAGCACCGCTCTGTGTCTGGGTAATATCTCACTAATACACAGTTCCTTAGAGAGCAGATGTCCAATTGAGCACCCACAAGTATCTATTCCAGCAAGTGATTTCTCCATAGTTCTCCTCAAATCAATCAAGCATATTTCACATAGGTTAGCAAATCCCTAACGTCAAAATATCAAATTTAGAAGAGGGCTTACATGCTGAAACTACAAACAGCAGAACTCACAGAAACGGCAGAAATTGATGGTCATAAACTTCGGTGGGCTCAAACAACAAGGAGATTAAAACTTGTCATCAGGAATGAAACCCCTCTGCAGCATTTCATCATGAAAACGAAAAGCCTCCTTCAAGTTATCCTGAGAGACATGTCCATTTATCAATGATGTATATGTGGATCTGTCGGGGTTGATACCCCTCTCAACCATTTTACTGTACAGCATGTTGGCTTCCTGCATTCTACCAAATTTACAGAAACCATCCAGTATGGTATTATAGCTAAAAACATCAGGTGACAGACCTTGTTTTCCCATTTCATTAACCAAATCTAAGGCTTTATCCATATTCTCCTCTCTTATAAGCCCATCAAGAAGAGTATTATACGTAATTGAATCAGGAAATAGTCCTTGGATCTGCATCTTGTTCAGAAACTTAGCTGCCCTTGAAGTATCGCCACACCTGCAATATCCCTTGATAATAGAGTTGCAAGTCACAATAGTAGGTTTGATACCTAGGATAATCATATCATCCCATAGTCTTAATGCATCAGATACATGACCCTTATTACAAAAGCCATTTATGAGAATACTATAAGTAATATAATTAGGAGAAATATTTACAGAGATCATCTCATCCCTTAAACTGAAAGCTTTTTCCATATCACCAACCTTACAAAATCCATCAATCAAGCTGTTATATGTCACAACATCAGGCTTGAGGTTTCTCAGCAACATGGCTTCAAACAAGGTCTGTGCTTTGTCCATGTTACCACACTTGCAATATCCATTGATAAGCGTGGTAAAAGTGTAAAAATCAGGATTTACATCTCTTTCCAACATCTCATTGAAAAGCTCATTAGCTTCCTGAAGCATCTTTCCTTTGCATAATCCATTCAATATAGTATTGTAAGTGACCACATCCATAACTAAACTCCGCTCTAGCATTTCATCACGCATCTTCATAGCCTCCTTCATAGAACCATTTCTACAAAACCCACCAATGAGAATTGTGTATACTACATTATCTGGTGTAAGACCCTTGCGTTTCATATGCTCATAGTATACCAATGAGCGGTCAAGACGACCAGTTCTTGCAAACAACCCAATAAGTGAACTATAACTAACCAAATCAGGAATGATAGCTCGACACAACATTTCTTTGAAAACAGATTCTGCTTCCAGCACGTTACCGGCTCTACAGCACTCAGCAAGCAATGCATTATAACTAGTAGTATCAGGGGCCAGTCCACACTCTTCCATCTCAACCAAAAGTTCCCTTGCTCTCCCGTATTGTCCATTCTTACACAAACCATTGAGAATAGAATTATAAGTTAAAAGACAAGGTCTTAACCCTGTAGCTTTCATAATGTTTATCACTTCATCAGCTTCTTCAAGAAGCCCCTCGTGACAATATGCATTTATCAAAGTATTGTAAGTCACCATATCCGGAAAAATTTCCTTCTTTTCCATTTCTTCAATAAACGGATTCACGCTTTCTATTTTCCCATCTTTACACAAAGCATTCACCATTATATTGAGGGTATACACATTTGGCTGAATGCTACTCCCTGTCATCTCACCATACACCTCCCATGCCAAGTCCACCCAACCAATCTTCACAAGCCCTCCTAGAAGACCATTACACGCATTTATCGGAACACAAAAATTCCTCCTTTGCAACAACCTAAATACTTCTACAGCCTCCCTAATCTTCCTAGCTTGTACATAAGTCCTAATCAGCAAATCAAAAACATATGGATTCGACCCGCATAACCCATAAGTTGACACCAAAGATTCCACAATCTCAATTCTTGAAACCCCACTTCTTCGAATCATCCTAAGAATAAAACCCTGTGCATCAGCTACCCTCTTAGACCTAATCAATACATGCACAGTAGCACCCAATGAACTCGTGCAATGTTTAAAATTAGGACAATTTACAGAAACCAAGTTGATGAATTTCTGTGCTAAATGCAAATCATCACGACAATTAACAAGAACTTCAAGAAAAGTAGACGGCTTTAAACCATGTAAAGAATTAGTTATTGGCTTACCTTGTTTTAGGTTCCACAATATTTTCTGGACTACAAATGTGTCATCAGATGGTGGGCTTGAAGAACCATTAACAAAGTGTTGTGGTTCAGAAATGGACGATTTTGGGGAATTTTCTAGGTGGGTTTTGCTGATAAGTGAAGCACAAGTTGCTGTGCCTCTGATGGTGGATTTGGGAAGACATAGGCGTCGTGCTGCTGCCATGGGAAATTGGCGTTTTGAGACTGCCATTGAAGTGTGGCTCTTGGAACTTGCTACTTTTTTCCATTACAAGGGAAAATAGAACAAAGGATTGTTTGATTTTTGCAAAGACCGTTTGGATGAGCTTAATAAACGCAGCTTTTAAAAAAGTATTTTTTTTTTAAAGTA